CGTGTAATACAATGCATCCTTGAGCTTGTCCTAAGAGTGCCGTGTTGGCAGAGTCCACTCCCGAATGCCTGGCCTTTGTCCTCTGCACATTGAGTCTGCTGCTGCTGTGTCTAGCACAGCTTAAGCTGGAGCGATGCCTCTGGGGAGGAGGTAGAAAATTGCTACATATGAAACAAAGTTGTGAAAAGCAAACATAATCCTATAGTTATTTTATCTTAAAGTTGCTGTCTTAGGTTTGATTTTGATACCACAAACGTAAGCTATTTTGCACTGTGTAAAAACCAATAGCACTGTTGCTGTTGTGAGGAAGCAGTAATTACATTAAAGTCTTGTGCTGTCTCCATCTATGTGCTCATCTGTAGTCGTAATCTAGCTGCACAGTGTTGGGTTATTGGGAACAGTATGTGTCCCAGAACATAGATCGGTTCTGCCTAGAACATAAACTGTGCAGAGAAATCTTGGGGGACTCCTGGATTTTAACATTGAAATAGAGGAAATGCAGCTCTGGATCTGCTAGATGTCAAAATGCTGATTTTGTGTTCTCTAAAATTGCGGAATGAATTCTAGGAGCAGCGGAGGTTAAGAGTGGAAAGAATTTATTGAGCGAAAGCTTCTAAGAGGAACAGAAGGGGGTCTAAAAAGTGGGTTTCTCACAAGGCTTGTTTCTCAATGGTGCTTATTGAGCAAAGCCATGAGCTGAAGTGGATTGAAGGTGATCTGTAATCAATCTATAAGATGACAAGTATAGTCACTTAAGTAATACAATGGAAAATCATAGGTTGGGTGTGAAGTGGGATAAAACTATGGTCAACCAATAAGATTACAAGTATAGTCTCTTGGGTGATACTGATTAAATGAAGATCAAATAAATCATTACCAAGTGCACCTGAGATGAACAAGGACTTCTCTGGAAGAGGGTGGGTTAAGGAGTTTTGGTCCTCTCCCCAAGGTAGTTTCTATTTAGAATGTCAGTCACTGCTGTTCATCCCTAAGGGAAGTATATGGATGAGTAAGTATATCTTCTCTTTCTTGAAGCCTGGCCTTCAGTGAGGGCGCCTCCAGCCACAGTTGTCTTCTGCATTGACTTCTTGAGGGCTCGGCTCTATCTGACTGCCTATAATATTCTACCTAAGCTGTAATAATGTGATAGGTGACCCTGTGCCCAGGGACACTGTGGGTCAAGAATTGAAAGAGTTATCTAGCACTGAATCAGGAGACTTCGCTCAGGAGCAAGCCTGTCTGTAAGAGCTTAGGCATACCCTTTCCTTCTGCAGCCTCTGCTTGGAGAGTGAGAACTTTGTAGTCGATCTCTAAGGTTCCCTTCAGCTCCTAGATTCTGTGCTTCCTCAGGGCTGAGTATTGCATCAGGACCCAGCCTGGGATTTGGTTGTTTTCAAGGCCCAAAGGAGTGGCTCATCCTTTTTTTTTTTTCCCAAGGCTACATAACCCCACAGAGCCTGACTGCAGTGAGCTGCCAATGTTGGGAGACGCCTCTTCATTGGGGACTGTATAGGTTGTTTATAGTAACCTAGAAGGACCTTAGCATGATGCCAAGAGATGTAATTTCTTTGTTCATCTGGCTACCTACTTTTCTTTTTGGAGGAACTGGGGATTGAACTCAGGCTCTTGCACTTGCCAGGGAAGTGCTTTTTCTACTGAGCCATCTCCCCAGCCCTGGCTACCTACTTAAAACCTTGCTACAGAACCATTTTATCTTTGGAGCTAGATTTTAGAGATATATCTTTTCTCAAAATGTCTCTTCTGAATTCAGGGATTCCCACTATTTAAGGATCAAAGCAATTACCAAGGAAATATGTTCTGTGAATTTAATTTTAACATGGTGATAGGGAATGTCTTCATATTTGAATTTTAATGCTTTAGTAAAGTTATTTGGCATTTACTAATCTTTCTATTCTTCCTAACATTAGTTATTTTTTCAGTACTGGAAAGGGTTGATGATATCTGTATTTGTCTTTTGACACTGGTAGCCTCTAATTTCTGGGTTAGTTAGGAGTTGGTACAGAAGGAAAGCTGGTCAGTAACCTTTCATACACATTATCTACTGATATGGCTTGGTCGCAGCTTCAACACCCGATTGCTCTTTGTGCTGATGGAAGTCTTCCAAGCCCTTCGTGGTGGCAGACTTCTCTGGGATCTCCCAGGTTTGGACCAATACTGCCACTGCTCTGGAGCATTGAGGTTGTTGATAGCAACAGTGGGCTCTTGGGAACAGCACCAAGAAGTAGGGTGGTGGTGGTGGAGGGGAGTTAGCTCTCTGGAGTCTTCTTTCTGTGGGCACCAATCCTAATCCCTAGAGCTCTGCTGTCACGATCTAATCGGCTCCCCAAGCTCCCGTCTCAGCGTCATCCAGCACCCGTTGGCACCGTCAGTGGTCGGTTTCCACATAGGCGAGCAGCCATAGCAGGTGGAAGTGCTTTCAGGAGTACATACATGATGTCCTCCTGAGCTTTCATACTTTCACTGTTCGCAGTGTGTGTGTGTCCAGCAGGAACAGAACTCAAAGCAGTACTGTTATTTTTTCTCCAAATGTCTTACCTGCTTCAACTTCCCTTGCTTTTCTAGTCTTACCAGAGTTGGTGGTGCTATCTCTTAACCAGTCTCTCAAACTTAAACTTGAAAATTTGGAAACATCTGTATTCTTCTACTACTTATTTACCATTGGTAATAAATTAACAAAATCCTATTTATTTTGCCTCCAGAAATGTCTTCCAAATCCATGCTGTCATTTTTTTGTCTCCAATGTCCTACTGCTTAAGGTTGAACCTGGTTTATTTCCCCTAGAACTTTCAGCAATTTCTTTAACTAAAATTTTTGTCTCTAATCTCTGTCTTCCTGTAACTCATGTCCCAACAAATTATCTTAAAAATTATTCTTATGCCTAACAATTTGTGTCTTTTATTTTATTGTTCTCCAGTGTGTTGTCTTTTGCTCGATATTATGTTACGGGAATTTTTCCATGCAAAAAGACCTGTCTTTTTATTGTTTCATACTCTTTGTGCATGAAATATGTATATTATAGTTTCACTATTCCTCCTGGGATGCTCATTATGTTTTTCTTTTGCCGTTCCAAGGAATACTGAAATGAACATCCTTGAACGTGTTGCTTTGTATGCGTGCAAGCATGTGGGTACTGAGAAAGTGGGACGCTGGGGGTGAAAAGGAATACGCATAAAGTAATTCCTTTAAAGTGGAATTTGGGGTATAAAAATGAGTATGCATTGAAATGTTAGCAGATGGCAACAAATTTCTTTATGTAAAGTTCCTATCAGTATATTCTTTCACTTTTTTTTTTTTTTTTTTTTTTTTTTTTTTGGCGGAACTGGGGATTGAACTCAGACCCTCCTTGCACTTACCAGGGAAACGCTGATTGTACTGAGCCATCTCCCCGGTCCCCAACTCCCTCTTCCACTCTTTGTGCTCTTTGAATTTTATGTTTAGTGTGGAGTCAGCTAATGTCCTTCTAGCCTCAGCTACCTGATTGCAGTGTTCTCTTGGTTACTCAGGCGCTGCCAGATACTTGGCTGGTTTTCTATTCAGTACCTTGTGTGGGGCTAGGCACCCTACTGTGCTGAGGATTTAGGCTGGATGAGAAGTGGTCTGTGCCCTCCTGTGGTGTGACTAACCATTTGCAGCTGTTTTCTCTTCCTGGTGTGACTTCTTTCTTTCCGCTTCGCTTCCTAGAGAATTTTCTTTTATCCTTTTAGCTAGCTTAGATTTTATTATCACTGTTCCCCTCATGGAGTCAGGTAGACCTTCCTCGGTGCTCTCAGTACTCACAGCGTTCTGCAGCTTCTCCCCTGAAGAGCGTTAGTTAGTGGTTCATGAGCATATGTCTGTGTATTTGTGAATGTGTATGTACATGCAGACACTGAAGCTGCCTCTCCCAGTACCTTGTAAGCTCAGTGGGAACAAGGAAGCACAATACGTACTTGACTGCTTCCCCAGCTTGGTACTTTAAACATTTGAGTAAGGAAATAGGTATCAGGGCGATGGACTTACTTTTTGCAGGCACTATGGGGACCTGTGAATGTGGGTGAGAACTGGCCTGAGTTCAAGGCCTGACCGTAAAGGACCATTGTCAGGGAGATACTAAACAGAGACGAGTAGACTGCAGAGCAGGTTGTGATGAGCTCTGTGCACTTTATCAGCTGTGAATACTTGAGGAGAATTTAGGGGATGAGAGGGATTTTCATGAATGAGATATTCTGTAAATTTACTGGTGAGAAGATTCCTTTTCTTCCTTGTGCTCAGTATCATGCAGAATACCTGTGATAAAATGTGTGGTCCCTGAATTTAAGAGTTTTATAGTCGGTAAAGTAGGGGTTCACATACTCTACCCTAGGGGCCAGCTTTAGCCTTTTCCTGGTTTTTATGGCCTGTGAATTAAGATTTTTAGTTTTAAAATTCTTTGGGGAGATGCTTTGTCACAGGAGAAAAATTACATAAAATTCATATTTCTTTGTGCATAATTAAACTGTAGAAATACAGCCTCATTAGTTATACACCATGACTGTGTTTAAGCTACAGCAGTAGAGGTGAGTAGCTGTAACAGAATATTTGGTTCCTAGTATCTAAAATGTTCACTGTCTGGCTCTTTACGGAACCAGTCTGCCCACTGCTAGGTTAGAGGATGCGAAATATTCAAGTGAAGTACAGAAGGAGAGAAATGGCACCCTTGTTACGAGGATTAGTTTGAGTGGAGAGAGGGGCCAGAGAACACTGGCAGCCGTAAAAGGCCTACGGTTGACATGCTGATCAAGTTCAGCCTTATTTTACCAAGCAAGATAAAAAGTCGAGTAAGAGTCTACATGGCTCCTGAGTGTCAGGCACTGTTATCCCAGAGTAACTGGCACAGACGTCCTGCAGTAGAGAGTGATAAGATTATTGTTGAGGTGTGGTCTTATCAGGATTGATGAACAATCCAAAAACAGACTTCTTTCTTGGACTGTAATGTTTCTGTTTTTCTTTTTTATTTCTAGAAGGGCTTTGAACCTTACTTTGAGATTTTGGAAGCATATTCCACAAAAGCCAAGAATTATGTAAATGGATATTGCACCAAATACGAGCCCTGGCAGCTGATTGCATGGAGTGTCCTGTGGACCCTGCTGATAGTCTGGATGTATGGGTTCATCTTCCAGCCGGAGAGTAAGTATGCTGTCTCTTCTGTAACAGTAGTGAGGTGTCATAATACTCATGGCTGGTGGACTAAACGAATTCATTCCTCCCTCCATCCCTCTCTCCCTTCCAGTCTCCCTCCCTCCCTTCTCTCCCTCCTTCCCCCCCTTTCTTTTTTATACCTAAAGTCAAACTCAGGGCCTCATGCTTGCCAGGCATTTCTTGCCTTTTGGTTTGATTCTGATTTTTAAAATCTTGATGACATTGTCTTCCAGTTTGGTAAGTACTACTCTATTGATTTGATTTGATGTGTGTGTGTGTGTGTGTGTGTGTGTGTGTGTGTTTATAGCTTACATAAAAATTCCTCAGAAATTAGTCATTGTAAAGATTCATAGGTGTCTCAGTATGGCTTAAGTCTTTTTCAGTACCAATTTCTTCAGACAGAGATGTACTGCTTTCATTTTGAACTATCATAAGTGCAGTTAGCACAGTACTCATCTCTCCCATTTCAGTGCCAGGTAGTGCCAGGCTCTGGGGATACTGCACAAGTAGTCTGAGGTCTATCTTCTTGGAGTACAAATTCTAGGGTGATGCAGCAGATAAGTCTCAGTGATCTGTTTGTAAACCCCCGGGTGTAACCCTCTCCTGTCCACCCATTTCCTCTCTACCTGAGTGCATGTGACCTTTGTCCCAGTTGTTTTCTCCCTATAGGCTATGTGTGGCATGTTCTATCACACCTAAATCCAGTTGGTTTTTTTGGCGGAACTGGGGATTGGACTCAGGCCCTTGCGCTTGCCAGGGAAGCGCTTATTCTACTGAGCCATCTCCCTGGCCCCCACACCTAAATCCAAACAGTAGGCACCCTTTTCCCACTCTCTGGAGTGTCTGAGTTAACTGTTTTGGTCTGAAGACCCAGTTGCATTGTGGAGAATCTAGGCATTTCCCACATGCCTGAATCTCTATAGTGTTTTGCTTATTTCCTTGATTACCTCTTTTTTTTTTTTTGTGGAACCGGGGATTGAACTCAGATCCTTGTATTTGCCAGTCAAGTGCTTATCCTACTGAGCCATCTCCCCGGCCCATTGATTACCTCTTTTAAGGGCTCTTTGTTTGTATCTTTTTTTTTTTTTTTTTGGAACCAAGGATTGAAATTTATTTATATCTTTTCTACTTTCTTTCTCTCCTTCCTTCCTTCCTTCCTTCCTTCCTTCCTTCCTTCCTTCCCTCCTTCCCTCCCTCCCTCCCTCCCTCCCTCCCTCCCTCCCTCCCTCTCTCCCTCCCTTTTTTCTTTGTCTCTTTACTATATACATGGCCATTGTAGGGTAATAAACTTAAAAGAAATGCCAAGTGAGAAACAAATTCAAAGCCAGGCATGGTGGCGCACATCTGTAATCCCAGAACTCAAGATGCTGAGGCAGGAGGATCATTGCAGGTTCAAGACCAGCGAGGGCTACAAAGTAAGCTCAAGGCCAGCCTGAACTGCATAGGGAGACCCTGTCTCAAAAAGAAAAATAAGAAGTGCCAGGCCAGGTATAGTGGTGCACACCTATCATCCCAGCACCCAAGTTCAAGTTCAAGGCATCCTGGGCTACATGGTGAGTTCAAAGCCAAAAAAGAAAAAAAAAAAAAAAAAGAAACCCTACTGACACATAGCTTTTTTAATTTAAGGTAGAAAAAAGGCATAACTGTTCTACCTAAAATACCTGTTCACCTCAGCTTTACAAACCCTGTCCCCAGTTTCCATAAAGTCTGAGAGGTTAGATTGATCTTTTGCTGCATCTGCTCAGTGGTTTGGATGTAGGTGCAGCGTGTGTCATCTCCTTCCTACGCTGAGTGAAGAGCGCCTCACCCAGTGAGGTAAAGCGCCCATCCCGTCCAGAGAGCAGTGCTCTTACACTTCTGCCTCCTTACTGCCACAAGGTGTATATAACATCAGCCACGCGGGGCGTACACACCTGCCATCCCAGTGCCTAGGTAGGCTGAGGCAAGAGGATCCTAAGTTCGAGCCTTGTCTGGGTAACTTAGTGCCTTAGGGAGATCCTGTTTGAAAAAAAATGACGGGCTTCAAGGGCCAGGGAGATGGCT